ATAATATGGATATGAGTAAGTGAAGCATGATATACAAATTTAGAATAATTGTGTATGATTATGTGAAATGAATGGAACGGCATGTTAATGGAATTACTATGATGACATTGTGATAAAATATACTTTACTTCATGCATGAAATTCATGAATGGATTAAAGTGATATTTTTGATATTGAGATCAAACTATACTTGGGTTGAGAAATCAATGGAAATGAAATGCAAATTGGGAAATAGGAACTTGGCATGTTCTAAGATTATCCAATTAGTATCAAAATACTAGTCGGGGAAATAATATAAATAAATGATGAAACAAATCCTAAGAGGTAGGATTGTGAATAGATATGCCTTAAGTAGTCTCAAGAGATACTTAAGGATGAACGGTATGAACACTAAGGTGTGATGGGGGTAGGCCTAAAGGCCACCTCCGAAAATTGATTCTAGGCATAGAACTTGCTTGAGAATTTGATTATGAAAATAATTAGAGTTGGACTCTAGAATGACATGGAGATGTAGTTGAGCCGAGCCCATGCCATGTAATATGGTTAGCATGGAAACGTAGTTGGGCCGAGCCCTTGCCATGTATATGTGACCTCCGTGGAAACGTAGTTGGGCCGAGCCCTTGCCACGAAGTTATGGTTGGTATGGAAACGTAGTTGGGCCGAGCCTTTGCCATACAAATTTTGATATGATATATCGAGTTAGAGGATTGTATAGAGATGTAGTTGGGCCGAGCCCATGCTATACAATTGGGGCTCGATGGGACCCCACGGGGTTATCATGACTTGCGGTCACGGGGGAATGGAAACGATGAATTCTAAATGAATATGGGCCTGCGGGCCGACTACTTGACTTTATGTAAAGTAAGTACAGTTAAAGGTAAAAAGGGTAACCGAGGGTTATGGCCTATAATATAATAGTACCCTAAGTTGGGGGTCTTGGAAATTAAAACGTTGATTATACTTAGTATAATTGCTATTGTACTTGTCAAATATTTCCAAGTACTGACCTCCCCTTCATGGGGGAGGCCACCTCACAGTTTCAGGTAGAACTTGAAGGTTGCTACCGGCGCCCGTTGCTTCGGGGATTTTCAAGGGAGAAGACGTGGTTCGTGCTTCTTCTGTTTCCTGTTTTCAAAACAATTATAACAATGCTCATGGATATTATTTTTGAATAATTATTTGGGGGCTTGTATGCCCATGTTTGCCAAAGTGTGGCTAAGACATCTTTATTAAATGCTTCCGCTGTTTTAAATGCATGTTTTACATTATGTTTGTTTATGGATGTACTATGTGTGAATGGTATTCATGACGCCTTGTATAGTATGGATGAGTTGGACTGCGGTTGACTATCCGTACTGTACGGCGGGTTGTTGACGTGTCCGGCTAGGTCCGGGGCGTGACAAATTATCTAATAAAGATAACTAAACATTACAAAATTAGGAATTTTTATATAATAAATATCCCAAATCTTAAATAATGATCAGAGTTGGTCTGTTATATGTTTATTTGCTTAAGTATGCAAATTATTTTAGACGTTTCTTTTTCTAAATCTCCAATTAAGTTTTACATTATGTAAAGCTATATATTAATTTTGCAAACTAAAAATTAAGGGAGGCGAATACATATATATCTAATTAAAGTATGAAAATTTTTATGAAAATATTACATATATAATGGAAAATTTTAAAAGTCCAAGAGGGTGGTCCCCCTAAATCCAGTGATATGCTGAGCATCCATCCCGCCGTCACTGCACCCAAACTAACTCGTCGATCTCCAAACCTGCAGAAGAAATCTTGGAAAAAAAAGATCTTGGTCCAAAAGGTTGAATCTCCTACCCCAGGAGCCCCACACTCCGACGCGACAGGATGGTGGAGGAGTTATTCACACTGACCCAGTCAGAAAAGTGACGATATGCCTTATACACGTGCGCACCAGAGGTCCAGCCTTATTTCAGGTTTTGTAACCTCCACACGGCCGCTGCGGATTTCGAACCTTGGTCACTTGGTCTAATTTCTCACCATTCGACCAACTGAGCTACCCGTGCGGATTTGGGAAAATGATCTTAAAACAACTATCAATCGCAAAGTAGCACTAGACAAGCTATTGCAATTGCCGAAGAGAATAAATCACTCCCAATTGTCGCACGATAGCCTATGGCCTGCGATACCCACAAAACCCTCAAGATGAGGGAGGGGGTTACCGCTCCCCCAACAAGAATTTTTTTTTAGTATATATATATATATGAAAAATAATTTTCTCCCTACGAAAAAATATTTTTAACCCCCAAAAAATATTTTCGCCCCCCAAGACGACTTTCCTGGGTCCGCCCCTGTTATTTGTTTCTGTCTAATTTTTTATTTTGCATGAAACTAATACAATCATTCAAACCAATATATAAGTACAAAAATCAATTAATGAAATTCAAACATAAAAAATATATAAATTTAAAATTTCAAGCTAAGTATTATATTTTGGGCCTTTGTTTTAAGTGTGCTTCCTTTAATTTGTGGGGCCAAAAAATTACTCCCTCTAAATAGGCTCTACTGTGTTCTTTGTTTAGTTTGTTAACGGTCACATAAATCCCTAATTAAGTTTATTTATAAAAGTGTATTTATATTTTATACTCTCATTTTTATTATTTTTTACAAACTATTTTACCTTTCTTATTTTTCTATTAATTTCATTTTTTTAATATACGGTCTTTAATGTCATAGTTTTCCATTTATCCAACTTATCCATGTTAGGACACTTAAACTAAAACTAAAACTAAAAAATTCCTTTGTAAAGAATTGTTGAAATTCATGAATGTGTTGGTTAACTATGAAATTGATTTTATCGTGTGAATCTGATGGAATTATGATTGAAGTAACTAGATTGACTGAATATGTTGAATTGTGAAAAATATTTAATTAAAATATGCACTATATTTTATTTATATAATAAATAAAAAATTAGATGAAAGATTAGTTAAAGTAATCACTTTAATAATTTCATCCAATTTAGTCAGGTATCTAACTCCAATCTTACTTATTTTGATTATTACATAATGAGCTTTATATGTTATAATACCCCCTCACATCTCACTTTACATAATTTGCATTTGGGATAATTTCCTAAAAAGGGGTATATAAATGCTAAATTGTCAAAACAGGAGTAAAGTTTAAAAAATCCCTAAACAGGATGTGTTATATGTTGTTGGACAGAAATACCCTTGAACCTTGGTCACATCTACTGCTGCCAATAGATCACCGGAATGCTATGGTCGTCGGCCGCCCCCGTCGCAAATCTGGCCGTCGTTGCAAATTTGGCCGCCATCGCAAATCTGGACATTGCCGCTGCAAATCGGCCTCATCCACGACAAACCTAGCCGTCGGTGCTGTAGATCTGGATCGCCGTTGCAGATTGCCGGAGCTCCATCATTGCCTCCACCGCCGTACTGCCTGCCACCAACGGAATGATCTTGGTTATGTATGCGAATTAGGAGGATAACCGTTTATGTTAGCAATAGCAAATATGGAATAAATGTGCTATTGAGGGAATAGAAATATACATATTCTTATTTAGAAATAAAATTTAAACAATAATAACTCTTTTAAATTATCATTATTTGTTTGGGGGAGAAGATGGGCGGGGGCAAACTTGCATTGGAATTTGTTTAATTGAGCACAATTCTTTATTTTTGATGCTTCAGCTTACATACACGTACATAGATTATTGACCGCTGTTTCTTACCTTTCCATAAATTTGCTCCTACGGGTTTGTGAAATCTGATTATTATGTGATATTGTTGCCATGACAACTCTAAGTATTCAACAAATAATAAGTTTTAGAGGGCTGCTATGAGGTATTGATTTCTATAGGAAGCTTAGAGTGCAAAACCAAGAAAAAGAGGAATGCTTTTTAATCAATAAGCCAATTATGTCACTAGACCTTCTCACGACGCTAATCCTTAGCACCGGTATAGCACTGTAGAATCCGATCGAGGAGCATATTTAGTGCCACAAGAGACTTAGTTGCACTTTAAATGCATCTTCAAAACTATTACCATGATCATTACTTTTTTCTTTCAATTCTCCTAATACTTTTGCAATAAATTATACTTCCGATCCATATGAAATTTGTTAAGACTTTAAGTTCCATTCTAAAAAATCAACATGATAGGAGAGGTGACCCAAAGTCTTATATAGTCTTGTAGTATTTTTTAGTTTTCGGATGTGGGACAAATACTTAATCGGGCCGAACAATATTGAAGTGTATAAATAAGCCACATCTTTACCAAGCTACTAAACAAATAATTCAACCACAACCGGACTTGACTCTGGTAGCATGTTAAAATCTGATGTTTCATCATATCCTAAAAGATCAAATGAAGTGATTAAGTTTGTACCAAAATATACCTGTGAACACTACCCATTGGAGAACTGTTTTGGGTTCTACTATCTATTTACATCACTCTTACATGACCCATTGATTGCCATGTGTCAAAGTTTATTTCATGTTAACAATGTAGCATTAACGATGCTCTTACACTGATATTGAAAACATTGAACACAGAACACATAATTAATATTTAATCTTCTAAGATAAATGTAAATATTAGTGACATACACCTTCCAAAAAAACATTCATGATATACTGCACATTTCTCAAACGTCTGAAAAAGTTCACTTTATTTACAAAAACGCCACCACATTTGTGACAATGTATATTTCAGTTTTAACAACACACAATTCTCAAATCTAATAGTCCATATTTATTCTTATTTCTCTTCAAGATGCCTCAGTAATATACATACTATGATTTAAGATATTTTTACTTGAATCGTTTTCCGTTCCAAACCAGATCAGACCATACCAGACCAAACTTGAACAATGTAAAATGTGAAAAGACTAGACATCTATCTAACCAAACTAGACCATATCGGAAAATTTCAGTCGAATTAAAAACATCCTTACACGTTCAACTTAATGACATCACTATTGATCACCCAAAGAAGAGGTCTCAAGTTCGAGTGTGATCATAATCAATGATATTGGCATTATCTTGAGGGAATACTATAATAGCTATAGGTTTAGAATTGAAGGATATTTCCAAAAATAAAAAGAATAAAAATGAAAACTCCGGCCTAGAAAATGTTATAGATTTGAGGTAAAAGAATTATGTTCCCGTCTAAAAGAATGTGTTATGTTTATATGTGACGTGATTTGGTATGATATTTGTGTCTAACTCTCTTTTGGTGTATAATTTCTCCTTGTTCTTCTTCTTCTAAATCCTCCTCACGAATGCACAAGTCCATAATCATCTTTCTCCCTTCTACTATCTCATCAAACAAGTCATCCAGTTGCTCAATTATGCTTTCAACCTCACATTTCAACGTCTCAAAGCAATCTCTCAACCTCTCAACCTTGCCTTCATCAACTTTGACCACTTCAGAATCCGTGTCTATCTTCACTTCTCTTTTAACCTTTTCCACCGCCACTCTCAGCTGCTGGAACTCAAGAACGGCAATTCCAGACAACCCCATCATCTCCTGTGCCACCCTCTCCCTCAATCTTGCTGCAGAAACCATGAAAGACGGGTCGATAAGCCCCGGGGGGTCGGCTTCGCTGTCTAGGCGGAGCAAAGGGGTGGTTTCGGGGTTGAAATAGACTAAGCCGGTGACCAATATCAGCAGCAGCAAAGAAGTGGCATTCTTCATGCAATGGAGGATTTGGTAAAAGCCATTCCATTTTGATTCTCCCCACACGTTTATGGTAAATCTCAAGGACAGTTTCTCCAGCTTCGTCTCTATCCATCTCTTGTTCCTTTCTTCGATTACATTTAGTTCCCACTCGTAGTGAGCTATGTTCCTCTGGATCTGATGCACAGAAGAAAAATGGAATGATTAAACATGGTGTGCATTATATTCAAGATAGTTTTTGCAAAAAACTTTTTTTTATATATTTATAATGAAAGTGTATGTAAGCAAATGCATTCACCAAACATAGTTGCTATGATAAACAAACAAAAATGTTTAGGGTACTTCTACACGGCCTCTTAAAATTAAGTAGGTACCGACGTACCGTACATGTAGTTCAATTGTGTCCATGCCAATTTATTAATACGCCGTATATGCTTTAGTATATGTACACTTGGTGTTGCCTTATTTGTCCAAACAAGGAAATGTAAGGGTACCCCAAAAATTAGTAGATGTACCATAGAATTTCCCAAATGTTTATGCCATTTTACAAAAAGGACACGAGTTTCAAGTAAAAGTGCATCAATATGGAATTTTACGCCGAAAATAATATGGGTCCAATTCTACATGATTCATTACTTGGATTTTAAGAGCGCGTTTGGTAATCGGCTTAATCACTCATTCTACTGAAATTTATAAAATTCTGTCTTCATTGGCTAGATTAGTCAATTGCTGATTTATGAAAAAATTAAAATATATTCTACTAATAAAATAAATAAATAATTATATTAAAAATAGTTAAAATGATCATCTAAGAATAAATTTCACTTTTGGTCCTACGAGTATCACACTAATTCCATAATTGGTCCACGTTTTTTTTGCTTTAACCAATTTTGGTACCTGATTATTGTTTTTCGCCCATACATGATCCTTTTATGGTGGTTAAAGTCGAGAATTGTCAAGAAAACAATAGTTAAACACTAAAAGTGAACAAAGTGAAAGACGTGAACTAAATGTGGAACTGACATAAAACTTATAGAACCAAAAGTGGAATTAATTCCTTTATCTTATTATTACACAATTCAGTGCTCAAAATCAAGTTACGTGTTTGATAAGCAAGGTTGACTGATAAGACTGATAAATCGAAAAAGAGGATCCCAAATGTGGTGGAAATTAATTTTTCATTTTTCATTCAAACGAAATAAGAAACAAATTAAATTGACGTTGCGGCCCTCGTGCGGCTACGTTGCAGATTCTCCCGCAGTCGTCGGAGTCTCTCTGTCGTTGTGGCCCAATACTGTTGCTGCGGTGCCGCCCGCAACCCCAATATTGCGGGCTGCATCGCGCGTTGACGTCTGTAACTCAAAACCCTAATATCTACTACTACGGTATTAGCTAATACGGAGTAAATTATACTACTCCGTATCAATGATTGTGCATTAATGTACGTGAGAGTAAAATTATACATACCTGGATCGAACGGTCTCGGTTTAAAACAGGATGACGAAGCAGGAGAGAAACTAAATGACCGCCACTAGTTTCGCCGTTCTCGAAATTTGAAACGGCCTTTTTGATCAAACGGCCGGCCGCCCACAGCCGGGAGCTCTCGTCCATGTACCCTTCCAGCCATTTGTCCCTCGCCGGCAATCGGAGTTTGGGCAGCAGGCGCGTGAATTCGGCGTGAAATGACCGGAGAGAAGACACGACACGGCTGAGGAATTCGATGGACACCAAGTTGTCGTCAAACACGACAAACATGTCATTAAGATCGTCGATAGCCTTGCCCAGGAACTTGTCGAAATCTTCCACAAACTTGGTCATTATACTGATGGTGGTTTATTTGTTAGCTCTTTATTTATTCACTTGTCTTGAAATTGAAATTGAAATTGAATTGAATGTTTAAATTGGCGCAGAGACGGAGGGGAATCAGAAGTAAACTAGGAAACAATTAGAGGTCGGCTGGTCTCGGTACGATGAGTCGATGATACATTCGGACTCACGCTCGGGTGCATATTCCTTTTCAGGAAAATTTTATGGGCCCAATTGGTTTAAATCCGGTTGAAAACATTGTGATTTTTTTGCCATAGAATGCCTTTTTCTAATATCACTACTATTGTCACTTCAAGGTTTTCTTTATAGTAATTGTATTGTATAGGATTAAAACTAAACCTAATTTTCTAAATAGGACTACAAGTTTTTAATTTCCTAAATAGGATTCTGGACGGCCATTATGTCCTCCTATATAACAGCATCAAAACCTTAATTCTAATTCTATCTAGCGTATGCGGCTCTTCTCCTACGTGCGCAGAAGCGGCTCTTCTCGTGCGCATCACCTCTACGTCGAGCCATGGATTCTCCTCCTCCTCCTCCTCCCCTTAATCTTGACGTTGAATAACATATTTTCACATGCTGATTTTACTGTTTTTTGGTAGACTTTTTCTGGTTTCATGAACATTTTTGGAGTTGGACATCGTTTTTTCTGTTTTGTAAACATCGGCTTCATCAGGTTTCTGATTTATGATGTTAAATTTCCGATTTCGATGAGAATTTTGATTTCAACTTTTTGGCAGTTGCATGTAGTACTCAATGTCTCAATATATATTATGGCAGAAAAACTTTTATTCTAAATATTAATTTTTATTGCCATTCTTTTGGCATAATTGACTAATATACTATGGCAGATTTCATGGTTTGGATTTCCAATTTCAATGAATTTCTGATTTCATTAAAAACTCTGATTTTCTCGATTCTGGATGTTGGATTCATTTTTGCCAAATTTCTTCCAGTTTCATATAATATGCTATGACAGAAAAATATTGTTTTCTTCCACCAACTGCCAAATATATTGATAAGAACTGTCAATATTATGTTTATATTTTTATAAAAGATGGCAAAGTTATGTTTTTATGTTAATAATTTTTTTTTTTGCAACAAAGAGGCATTTTCATAACCTGCAATGGTGGCGTCAGCAGTGGTGCTGAAAGTGTCGGCGGCGGCGGCAGCGACGGCTGAAGTGGCACCGGCAGCGGCGGAACTTGGAAGTGGCAGTGTCGGAAGCGGTGGCAGCATTTGGAGTGGTGGAGGCGGCCGTTGAACTTAGGGTTTTAAATAGCTTTTTAATTTTTTATTTATAATTGTAAATAGTTTTTTAAATTCATTAAGGGTAATTTTGTAAAGTCAATACATTTTTAGTCCTATGAAACATGGAAGTCCTATTTGTGCATTTCTTTGGTGTTTTAGTCATATTTAGGGAATTAACTCTTTTCTTTATCGGAAACTTCCCAGGATTAAAAAGTTTGAAAATTCTAAAATATAATTGCCATGTTTTTATTCCCCAAAAAGGAGTAATTATTGTTAAGTTTGAAAAATATTACCATGTTAAAAATTTAGTGCTGTCAAAACATGGTCGTAATTAGTCCTATTTTGAGAATAAAACACGATAGTCCTATTTTGGAATATACAAACATTTTAGATGTTCCGGTTAAAGATTCTCATTTATATAGGGATATTTCTCAAAATAGGACTAAATGAAGTTTCAAATTCTAAAATAGGACTTCTATATTTTTATGCCTCGAAATATGAGTAAAATGATAATATTTACTGTTATCTTTTAGTCATGACTGCCAAATAATTTCAGTACTATGCATTCAACATGACATTATTTATTATAATTAATGACATTAGTTCTCAATCATGAGAGTATTGACTGTCATCTTTTGTTTTGAACTAAAATTTGATGGTCTAGTCTAGTCTGTTTGTCTTTTTTGGGACAGAAAATAGTTCCAAAGAAAACATCCTAAATCAACAAATTTTAAAAATAGAAATTGCTCTAAATAGGAGCAAAAACATTTTGAAATTCCAAAATAGGAGTATCATGTTTTTTATTCCCTGAATAGGAGTAATGTGCCAAGTTTGGAAAAAAATGCCATGTTTTAAACTTGGCAAAAATTTACTTCTATTCAAGGAATAAAAAACATGATAGTCTTATTTTGGAATTTCAATTTTTTTTTTACTCCTATTTAGGGAATTCACCCTTTTAAAAAATAATACAACGATAACATTATAGTAGTAATCAATGACCTTATCTATTTTAGTACTAATAAAGTAGAGTTATGTAAATTGAAATTGATTTCTACTTCAATTACGATCGAATCAAATCATTAGAACTGATAATTTTTAGATTTCGCCCATAATTGTTTATAATTTAAATTGAAGCGAGACAGACTTAAATAACAAAGACAGGCTTACTCAGTTGATCTTTAGATAACGATATGCTTACCTTAACAGATCAGATAAATATAGAAGTCAGTCACCATTATTAGATAGATGTTAGATACAATATCAAATAAACATAAATAAAAAATAATTTATTTATGGATTACAATTTAGATAAAATAATTGTTTATAATTATTTTATAAACTTCAAATCTAAAGACATACCCATTATCATCTACTTTAGTACTAATATTAGTACTAATAAAGTAGAGTTATGTAGTTGAAATTGATTTCTACTTAAATTGCAATTGACTCCAATCATTAGACTTGATTATTTTGAGATTTTGCCCAAAATTCTTTATAATCTAAACTGAAGTGAGGGAAATATTTATATAATAAATAAAGCCACCATAGTTGTTGATAACCATATATTTTCTATTTAGATAAATATGAAAGTCAGTCACCATTATTGATAGATGTTAGTCAGTTAGATAATAATATCAAATAAACATAAATAACAAATAATTTATCTATAATTTACAATTTAGATAAACTAATTGTTTGTAATTTAAACTCAAGTGAGGGATTTAAATAACAAAAACAAGCTCAAGCAGCGGATTTTTAGATAACCGTAAGTTAACCTTATCAGATAAACGTGAAAGTCAGTAACCGTTTGATGGAATATAATTCCAGCGAAAAGAGCTTAATCAATCAAATATTCATGAATCGTAGAAGAGAAAGTAATAGCTGTATTATTAATCGAGCAAATCTCCCTTTTACAAGAGATGTACAAGAGTATTTGTAGGCTATATCAACTAGTATTCTAGTATGAAACTGATACAATAAATGCTATTAATTGCATATTAATTCGAATAGGACTCTTGTAACGTTCCTGCTGTTGCTAGATGACTATGCTGGAATAATAGTCTGCCACGTAAGCCCTAGAAATATCCCGGCCTCACTAGAACTCCGCCCAGGCTCGAGGTCTGCTGTCCAGCCCGGCCTGGTTGTGAGTTTCTTTCATGGAATGGATCCCTAGTTAGGCCTAGCGGCGAATTAATATTAATCCCGTGAAGGGCTGATCCCGTTGATGGGCTGATCCCATTGATGGGCTTTGCTTTAATTCAATCTTGGGCCATGGTAATGATCCATGGTACCATCATGACCCCCCTACTCTCTTGAGCTAACCAGGCTCAACGAAAGAGAGTAATTTGATTCCTTTCTCATTCTTGAAATTCTTTATTCTTTGAGGCAGGCATGGTGAGATGGAAAGGAGTAGAGTAGTGAATGCCTCGTAATAACTTCTCCAGGGGCTGAGGGTCGTCACCTTTTGTCCACAATGGGGAGGTGCCTCGTTAAGAACCTCATTAGGAAAAACCCAGTGGGAAAAAATCCTAGTGAGGGAAAAAGAGTACACCGGAGGTCCCCAAAATGAAGCAAGAAGATGGACCCTTTGGCTGATGTATTTAGCTGTAATGACCACCTGATGCATTCGGTCCGCTTTGTCTGCGGCATCATCTTCGTTCGGTAGGTAACCAAGACAAGCTTGAGAGATCAATATGATAGTCCTCATCCGAGTGTACCTATACAAATTTAAATAAAACTGTGGTAATATATCGAGTTTGCTATCAGTTTTGAGCCTAAGTAAATGGCCTCAAATTCCCAACAATACGGATATATTCCTGTGCTTAGTAGAGTGTGACCCATATCTAGGACTCAACTCGCCACTCGAGGTTCATAGCCTGAATGTGATAATATAATATTGACCTTCGGAATTGTAATGCTTAGTAATATATAAAATTTAAATTTTAAAGTTAAAGAGCACTTAGCTTCGAATCTGTAGTATGTGCAAACTTTCACTTTTCTTCAATTCCGACTCAGCCCAAATTCTCCATTGGTTATCGATCCAGAGGATGTTGATAGAGAACCTTGAATTGTTGCTCATTGATGGAGTTTAATCCAACTACGAGAGCTAAATCTAACATTAGTTCGAATAGGACTCCTCTAGCGTCTCGACCATTGTGCAATGATTATTTCCTTCAAGTCTACGTTTCGCGGCTGAGTCCTGCCTACATCCAAATATCTATGCTTAAAGGATAGCCTGCCACGTAAACCCTAGGAATATCCTAGCCTCACTGGAAGTCCGCCCAGGCTCGAGGTCTGCTGTCCAGCCCGGCCCGACAGGTAAAGAAGCTAAGGAGCAAAGAGGTGCTGATGGTAAAAGTACTTTGGAAGAGTGATCGTGTCGAGGAGCAAACTTGGGAAGTGGAGACCCTGGATTTCGGGGACGAAATCCCAAATAAGGGGGGTAGAACTTGTAACACCGCCCCCGAGTATTTGTACTGTACAAAATTATGTATTGAACCTTGAGAAATGTATAAAAGCATTTTTACGTGATTGTAAATTTTTATCATTTCTATTACGTGAATAGTAAAATTCACGTGGGGCCCACACCGGATGTGGGGCCGCCCGATATTATCGGGACCACATATTATATTGATCTTGGACTAGATAATATGTATATGGTGATGGATATTCTAATTGGGCCATGGCAATGACATAGAGTCGACCGATTGGTCAAACGGGGCCAAATTATCGGTATCGGCGATTTATCAGATAACAGCCCAAAAAGGGGTTCCGGAGATTTCTAAATTAAAGTTGGGGAGTCATATTGATTCTAAGGACCAATAAGGA